CATCAACAATTCCATTGAACTTCTGGAACCTAGGACTGGCCCAGATGCATCGCTAGGCCTCTATCGGCTCGAGGGATGATGACCGGACGGACAACATGGATTTAGAACTGAAGAGCACGCCATCTAATCTTTTAGCACTGCGAGCACTTTATTGCTAACTGTTATTTTTATAATGCTGCCGTTTACTGGAAGAGTGAGTATGTATTTTTATGTGGTTTTAAACTTTTACGGTTTATGCCAATTAGGTACATTGTACCGCTCTTGTTAGCCGCCCTGAGCCTGTTCGCAGGATGGGCAGGGTATAAATATAATAAATAAATAAAATCCAATCTCTGATTCTGGCAAGTTCCTTTGGGATCTCTTGCTACTGTTCTACAACAAGTGTGTGTGTGTTTTAAAGGAGAACATACTATAAATTAAGATCATGGCATCCGGACCCATCACTCCTTGGCAAATAGAAGGGGAAGTCGTGGAAGTAGTCACACTCAGCAGAAGATCTGCGCTGCAGAAGAAAGAAGCCTCTGTTAACCAGGAGGAAAAGGCCAAATATATTCCCTCCTTCCTGATCTCTCCTGATTATGGTCCCTTCGTTCTTCAGCACCTACAGACTCGCAGACTCTGCTGCTGCTGCTGCTGCAAACAGAGAGCATCTTTTTTGGGCAGCATTTACCAGTTGGGTGAATTGGGTAAGTAAGAGCACTGCAAGGACTGGAAAATTTCTATCACTAATAAGCCTACTGAAGCCTCCTTATTACTTCTGTCAGGGACACCCAACGTTCCCACTGATTTGTTGTTTCTGGATCCCGCTCCTGGAACCCCTGAACAACTTCCCAGACCCTCATTTATAGTCTTGAGGGCCTTTTCAGTCCCACCCACACTCACGTCTGAGTTTCCCTCCCCCCATTCAGCTGATGGGAAACGAAGGACTTTTCCTGGAGTGTTCTCAGAGGAAAGAATGCTTCTCTGTCAGAACGATGCTCATTCTAACTGCCATCTCCTCATCTGCACACAATCTCTCACAGCAGGGAGACAGAAGAAGAAGAGATTGAATTTATACCTCGCCCTTCACTACCTGAATGAGACTCAGAGTGGCTTACAATTTCCTTTCCCTTCCCCTCCCCACAACCCTGTGAGGTAGGTGGGGCTGAGAGAGCTCTTTCGAGGACTGCCCTTGAGAGGACCACTCTGAGAGAACTTCTGACTGACCCAAGGTCACACCAGCAGCTGCATGTGGAGGCGTGGGGAACCAAACCCTGACTGCAGAGGCATTTGCACAGGCAACACAGCATCCCTATAGGACTTTTGTGTGCGCTCTCCTGCATGAGCTGCCATTTCTAGGGTATTTTCCCACTATCATGCTGTCGGAGCGCTTCTTTCAACATTTTTTTTTTAAAATGGCAATTTTGAAGTCAAGAGTTGGGAATTCAGAGGAAATGAAGGGGTGCATCCTACTGCTATCATACCCATTTACTGAGCAGAGTTTATTTATTTATTAAAATATTTGTGCATCACCTTGTCACAAGTGCCAATCCCTGCCGGGGCTAACACTTGGGTTCAAGGGGAGTGCGATACAAAGCAAAGTTACAAATTACCTGAGAGAGTCTAAAAACTCACCCAAGCCTTGGTAGACTGCCACCATGCCTTTCCAGACTATCCCAACCGTCCAGGAGTGAAAGACAAAGTCTCCCGGCTTCTCAGGGAATTACAGGAAAGGTCAGCCCTGCAGAGTGGAATTGCGCACTGAGTTTCCAAAGACAAAAAGATTTTGGTTGTGGTCAAGGATCAAGGCAAATTAGGGCTACCAAGTACTTACTGTGAATTGGCGGGGGACACATAGTTCTTGGCGGGAACATTCCAGCGGGGAAAAAGCACATGCTGCATTATGCTGTCGCCCAGACGTGACGTAGGCACATAGCCGGGTGACGCTCTAGCAATGGGGCTGAAAACTCGATGGTAACATCGAGTTTTCAGCCCCATTGCCAGTGCGTCACCCGGCTACGTGCCCAGCATGCTGATGTCACGTCCTCCACCGATTTGCGGTAGGTACTTGGTAACCCTAAGCAGTGTTCCCTCTAAGCTGAGTTAGTGTGAGCTAGCTCACAGTTTTTAAGCCTCCGGCTCACACACTTTTGTCTTTGCTCAGGAAGAAGGGCTCCAGAGCAAACTAATTGATGCAGTAGCCAGATCCCGCGCTCACAACTTTCATGCCAGTCGCTCACAAAGGAGAATTTTTCCTCACAAGACTCCAGAGCTTAGAGGGAGCATTGACCCTAAGGCAAATGGATTTAGGCTTTGAGGTTAACTGAATACAAAAACCACAACAGAGTAAAATATAAATATTTATTAAGGTGCAAAAATATTTAAAACAAGACTCAGAATGTGAAGGGAGTAAAATAACAAAGGCTAAGCATATCGAGCATTACTGAACACATAAAACACGGTTCCAGTTCCCTTTCCAGGTTTCAGTAGAGACAGTCAGGTCAGGAAATCAAGGTGTTCACACAATCAGCCCGTCCAGGTAAGGATCCAGTCGGAACGCCATGGCTGGGTTGCTCGGGGACCGCTGACAAAGCCATGTCAAGTAGTCTCCAGACACCATCAACTAAGTGAATGCAACTTACTTTATAGAAAAAGGTCTCTGGATGAGTTTAGGCTTTTAACCCAATCACAGACCAGGAAAGTGATGTAACTCTCTGTGTTGCTAAGGTCAGATGACATCCCATAATAACCAAGAGCAGAGGGGAAAGTGAAACTTATCTGCAGGTAGGTCCACCCATCCCCCACTCGCAGGTGTCCATAATTACCTGGGAATGTGAAGCACCAAGGACAGTTGGTAGGTCTGTACCATCCTCCAGCTGAAATCAATCTAGCAAGGTCACAGCGCACTCTGTTACCTCTGTGTCTCAAGGGAGAGTTTCTGCAGGCCTCTTTTGCAGCCTGAACCAAGGATTTTTAGTTTGTAACCAGACCAGGGAAACTATTCTCTTTACACACCTTTCCTTTGGGCTCTCCTTTGAAACATCCCTCCAGCCTAAGGAGACTCCCTCCAAAGTAAGTGGCTTTTCTGTTGGAGGAAGAGCTGCTTACGCTCTCGTGGAAAGCTCCTTAGGCTTGAGGAAGGCCTCTTGGTTGGAAGATTGGTTGGATCCACCCCCAAAGATCAAGGCAAGCAATGTTTACAAGCAGGGGCTCGCAAGGAATTCAAAGAGTGGTGGGTGGACACCTCTTCCCCCTCCCTTTGGTGATCTTAGCTGCCACCAGGGCTATTTTTGGGCAAGAACGCACAGGAACAGAGTTCCGGCTGGCTTCAGAGTTGGCCATGCCCGCTACAGCCAGAACCTCAGCATGCGTGGCTACAGAGGAAGGCCTGGAGAGCGACCCCCCCTGGCGATTCTGAGGCAGGCGGGCCAGGGGGCCCCTGGAAGGATTGGGGAAGCATTTAAATGCCTCCCCGTGCCTTACCCGGCCTGTCTAAAGGCTGTTGCGGGGCACCCAGACAAGCCAAGGGAAGGCTGCCTTCCTTTCCCTTCAAGGGGCGGCTTGCCCGGGCTCCCTGCAGCTGCGGGGCACCCAGGCAAGCCAAAGTAGGCATGGGGTGTGGCCTAATATGCTAATGAGCTGTGCTGCTGGGTGTGGCCTAATATGCTAATTGGTTTCTGCTGTTGGGTGTGGCCTATTCCTTCCCAGAGACAGGAGTTGGGGAAGGAAGAAACAAAGGAGAAAGCAGATGCAGCAGCACCTCCTCTTGTTTCCAGCTGGCACTTCTTGTTCTCTTGCTCTCCCTGGTGGGATCACTACCTAGGTGATGAAGGGGGGGAAAGGTGCTGTCGCTGTCATCTGCTGTCGCCACCCTTTTGTCCATCCAGCCTTTTCTCTGTTTTGTGCTGGAACCTCCCACAACCATCTAACACTTTCACTTGGTGTAGTGGTTAAGGGCATTGGCCTGTAATCTGGGAGAACCGGTTTGATTCCCCACTATGAGAGCCAGTTTGGTGTAGTGGTTTAGGGTGCGGACTCTAATCTGGGAGAACCAGGTTTGATTCCCCACTTCTCCACTTGCAGCTGCTGGATGACCTTGGGCAAGCCATAGTTATGTCAGAGGTGTTCTTCAAAAAGAGCAGTTTCTGTCAGAGCTCTCTCGGACCCACCTACCTCACAGGGTGTCTGTTGTGGGAAGGGGAGGGGAAGGGAAAGGAGTTTATAAACTGCTCTGAGACTTTGAGTATAGGGTGGGGTATAAATCCAATATCTTCTTCTTCACTCCTTCTTCATGCAGCTGCTAGGTGACCTTGGGTCAGTCACACAGTTCTCCCTGAACTATTCTCTCAAGATCAGTTCTCTCAGAACTCTCTGAGCCCCACCTACCTCACAGGGCGTCTGTTGTGGGAGAGGAAGGGAAATGAGATTGTAATCCGCTCTGAGTGTATGGTGGGGTATAAGTCCAATCTCCTCCTCTTCGTTCTTCTTCTCTCTCCTAATTGATCGCCTGGCTTCTTCTTTGCCCCCACCACATCACTATTGGTGGCTGCCTCCATGTTACCCAAGATCCAGTTGAGGACCATGTAAACCCCCCTCCCATTTTTTTTAAATGTTTGGTATTTTTCTACAAACTTAGGGTTTACCATGTGCTTGGAGAAAAATGAACTCTTCTCATACCTGGCCCCATTGTGCAGGTTTTGTGATCAGCGCTCATTGGGAAATTTAGATTATTTTAAAAAAATAAATCTTGAATTCCTGATCCAGAGCCTCAGAATTCCGAATGTGAATCCTGACACTGAATCTTGATGCTGATGCACATATCTCATGTGGCAGGAACAATGAATGTTGGGGAGAGAGAGGCAGAGAGAGAATACATCATAGAAGGATTCTCCCACAGTTTGCTCATTGGGTAGCTGGATAATGGTGGGAGGGAGAAATGTGAAACTTGGGATTTATTTCCCATACTTGGCTGTGGGCCTCTAACTTTCTTGCTGTCTCCTCACTGCAGGAGCATTGGTCCAATGAATCTCAGGAACACAACGGGCGTTTCTGAGTTCCTCCTCCGAGGTTTCCCATCCCAGCCAGAGGTCCAAAGACTCCTCTTCCCACTCTTCCTCTCCATCTATCTCCTCACCCTCCTGGGGAACGTGACAATCATCTTGTTGATCCGCTCCGACACGCACCTCCTCCAGACTCCAATGTACTTCCTGCTCAGTCACCTGGCCCTAGCTGACCTTGGCTTTACCTCCACCACCATTCCCAAGGCATTACATAACATGCTGTCTCAGAAGAAGACTATCTCCTACCCTGGTTGCCTGGCCCAGATGTATTTCTATATGTCTTTTGGCAACTCAGACAGCTTCCTGCTGGCTTCCATGGCCTACGACCGCTACGTGGCCATCTGCTGCCCACTGCGCTATTCTGCCATGATGAGCCACAAGCGTTGCCTCCAACTGGCCACCATGTCTTGGGTTGTCCCCATCATTGACTCATTGCTTTATACTCTTTTGATGTCCCATGTTGAATTCTGTGACCCTGAAGAGATCCCTCATTTTTTCTGTGATATTCTCCCACTTTTGGCTATCTGCTGCTCTGACACCACCCTCATAGAAATAATGGTGATGACTGAGGGTGTAGTGGAGGTAGTGACCCCATTTGTACTCATTATCATCTCGTATGCACTCATCTTCTACACCATCATGAAGATTCCATCTGCTGTTGGGAAGCGCAAGGCCTTCTCCACATGCGGGTCCCACATTTGCGTGGTGGTCTTGTTCTATGGCACTGTGAGCTGGGTGTATTTCAAGCCGAATCCCAAGAACCTAGACCGCAAGGACACGGCGGCAGCTGTGATGTATACCATGGTGACCCCCATGTTGAATCCCTTCATCTACAGCCTCAGGAACAGTGAGATGAAAGCAGCCATGAAGAGGGTCATTCAGCAACATTTTTGATAATATCTTCAAGGGACAAAGTATTGGGTTAAATGTACCAAAAAAATCATTTTGCCTTGAAAAACAGAAGCTTTATATAGTATCCCGATCCTCCACATCTTCCACTTAAGGGGAAAATGCGGTCCAAAAATTACAAACATGATCTGAGTCCTACCGTAAAGGAAAACCTTCGGCCAGCCACACACTGGTAGCCCAAGCTACCTTGTGAAGAAATGCATTTTCTCCTGGGAGGTTGGCAAGCAGCAAAAGCCTCCAATGTGCATTTTAGAAGTCTTTGTTCTCTGGGCAGAACACAGCCAGGAAGGGGGAAGTCATTCCAAATGCTTCCAGCTTCCCTTTATACATATGCTAATACCTCTAGCATGAGACACAATAGGATGGTATCTCCCACTCCCCCCCCCACTTCAGGCAAGAAATAGAGGTTTGGAGGACTTTGGGCTAGCAAGGCTCCAGACCCAATGTCCAGGAAAGGGCTGGAGGAAATGCTTCTCTGGCCTGGCCTGACCGGGTCAAGTGGGAGGGACAAACTGAGATGATAAATCCTCCTTGCCACAAGAAGTAGCTCTCCTTCTTTGGGATGCTGCATTCCTGAACATGTGCTCGCCTGGGAGACTTGGATCAAGCTTCAAGGTAATGGTCACTCTGTAGAGAACTAGAACAGCTACACTAAAGAGCCTGTATTATATTTTGCCAACAGATAGCATATGTATAGAGGGATGGGATAGAGGGTTCGTGCTTTTACTAGGATATTTTTTTCCCTTGCTCAATTCTGGTGCCGGGCTAAAAATATGCTTGTAAACATTTTCTTCCTAATAAATACTTTAAACTTTTGAAGCCGGGAGTGGTTCTCTGAACCACATAGACCTCCACCCCTTCGGACACACTATTTTAAAAGGGGCTCCAGGGGGACAGCAAGCGGCTATTCCTCCAAGGGCAGCGAAGGCATTGAACTGTTCCTGTGGTCACCAGACGTTGGGCATCGGGAGACACAGAGGTGAGAACTGAGAAGGGGAGCTGGGGTCCTCTCCCTTCCAGCAGGCAATTCCTTGAATAAGGGACGGTGGTGGTGGCAACTAACCTGAGAATAGAAAAGCCCCTCCTGGGAGTTGGAAACC